ACTGTCATATTGCACAATAGCATTTGAAATCGATCGAACTAAACAATTTTGATTTGATTATATGTATGTTTTTAACTTTAAAACCGCATATTTACATGCAATATTGTGTAATTCACTTATTAAAAAATTGATATTTATTATTATCTTTTTAATAAGTTCGTCTATATGTCATAAATTTTTAAATTGTCAGATACACACAATATTGTGCAATTTATTTATTGATGTTGTGCAATTTAAATTTTAATAAACTGCAAATTTGACATATGCGAATTGTAATATAGTTATTTTTCTCAATTTACATACAAGTCCCTAAAAATTATCTAATCTACAAAATCAAGCCCCAAATTTTCAAAACTTCCAAATTGCAAAATCGGACCTGACTTTCAACCGGATCAGAACACACAGCACGCAGACCATCAAGCAACGACACGACAACCTGTGGACGGGAAGAAGACGTAGGATGGAATTTCGAATTCGGCGGCATCTTCGATCTTGAATGGCAGTGTGCGAACCGGCGGAATTTCGAATGGTAGTGCGTGAATCGACGGGATTTCGAATCCGGGTATGCCTGTCGGAGCAGCTCAAGATCAAGAAACAGGTGAGGTGAACGAGATAAGCGTCTCGATCTTGATGTTCGTCGTGGTATCGTCGAAGCTAGCCGACGGGAGGAGGACGATGCCGGCGCCGGGAGAAAAAGGCAGAGATGACGATGGACTTGGTGGCAGAGACGCCCGTCGGTGCGAGTTATCAGCGAGACGGAGGGGCAGAGTGCGGCTGCAGCGTGCGACGTCGGGCGACAACAGGCGGCGGATGGGCGACTATGGTTGGAGGCAGGCGGCACTAGGTGGTGGTTGTCGGCACTGGTGTGTGATGTATGTGTGTGAGATAAAATGAGGTGGTGATAATATGGTGGGACCCACGTGTGGGATGTGTGTGTATGGGTATTGGGTGTATGAGATGTTAATTACCAGTTTGTCTTTATATATTAGTCAAATGTAATATTTGACCATAAATTGTACACCTATTTACAAAAATACCACAACATGTTTGACTAATATATTTTAAAATTGACATAATGGCCATTCATATGTTGAATCCAATGGAGTAGATTTATTCTTATTTCTTTCACTATCTACCATTCTCATATGATCCCTTCTCTCTATATAGACACACACACACACACACACACACACACACACACACACATATATATATATATATATATAGAGAGAGAGAGAGAGAGAGAGAGAGAGAGAGCACGGTAAAGAGATGTAGAGACAAAGGGGTTTTGGGCCTTTGGTGGCTTAAGATGAAAGATTAAGTGGGTACCCAAAATCTTACTGTTAAAAAGGCTTCGTCGTTTGTTGTCCCGGTCGTCGATTAATCACAAGGGTTTTGAAGGGTTGTAAAGGGACAGGGAGAAGGGTAAGGGTAGAAGCCTATAATATTATTTACTATGTATGGAGTTCGATTTAATTTCTATAAATAGCCAGTTTCCAAATTTGACGCATTTATTATTATTATTATTATTATTATTATTATTATTATTATTTGCATTAAATTGAGTAATTAGTTTAAGTCTAAGCCATGAAGAATTTATTCGATTTTAATTATTAAAGTCGGATTTATTCAGCTCAAGGATCGGTTTTATTTTTAAAACCGAGCTTTAGTATGAGCGGAATTGTATTAAAGGCAGCCGAATATTTAATTTATTCGAGCCTAATCATTTTCGAGCGAGTCCAATTATTTTAGCCGACCCATTTAAGATTAATCGAGCCTATGTTCGATTTTAATTCGGCCCATTTCATTTTAGTAAATCTAGCCAATGTTCGATCTTTGTTTAATCCATTTAAATATAGCCGATTTTTAAATTCGAGCCAAATTATTTTAGTAAAGTTGACCGACTAATTTAAATAATCCAAGTCCGGTTAATTTTATTAACCGAATATTTAATTCTTTAGTCAATATTCGAATTAATCGATCCCAAGTCGATTCAATTTTACTAGTCCGGTTTTAGAATTTTATAGCCCAATTGTATTAAATCCTAAAGCTCGATTTTAAAGCCCAAGTCAAATATCATAACCTAATTATAAAGCCCAACTTCATCTCAAAACCCTAACTCATCCACACCTATATATATATTTAGAATTTAGATAACCTTATCTTCTTTCCTCCAAGACCATCGTTCTCCACCACTCCACCACCTCCTCCAATTCCGGCCACCTTCCAGCTCCGGCGACCACCGCCGTTCCCAGCTCCGGCGATCTTCACGTCGGCGAACCTCACGCCGTCCACCTTGGCCGCCGTTCGCACCACTTCAGACCAGCCGACCTCGCACAGCCCTCCGTCAGCTCCTTCACGGCGAGTCCATCCCAGCTCGCCACCGCTTTCCCAGGTCCAGCGAGCTTCCATTTCGGGCATGCTCAGCCCTGACCGCGACCAAGCCTCCACGGTCCGTTCGCAGCTCCACGCCGGCGAGTAGCTCAAGCCCAACTCTGTCTTCCGGCTCACCTCCACGCTGGAGCCACTGTAGCCGTTCGAGAGCCCTTCCTCACGGCGTCG